TGTGTCTTAACACAAACATTGGGGGAATCGATCGAACGCTCACGAGTTATTGGACTGGGACAGGATATCTGCCTTTTCTGTAGGTGTACATCACTCTTGTGATGTACTGATTCTTAGCTCATGTAGATCTTTCAGCTCCAGGCTAGGTGGGAGGCCCTTACATGCCCAGAGATAAGGTGATGTTTGTTTACAGCTCCTGGGAATGCTATGGTTTCCTGCTGGACCTTTGTTGGATGGGCTGCCTTGAATTGTGTCAGTTCTCTTGCCTCTGCACAAGGCCATGGTTCCTGCTGCTTGGTTCATTCTTGCAGGAGTTTGAAACACAATGTCCTGCCTAAAAACTGGTGGAACAGCACCATTCATTGTGGTGCAGTGCCACATCCCGAAACAGTTGGGTCAATGCTTAGGATTTGCATAATGAACTGGAAGAGTGGGGTTTTCATCTAAATGGAGTGGGGTTTTCCTGGTAGAGATAGAGGTTTTTGGGTTTGCTGTGTTTTTGGGTTTTTGTTAATGAAATATTTCACTCAAGGAGCAAGAGCTGAGAGTCATCCCATGCATGTGTCTGTGGAAGCTGCTTCAATACAGATATACAAATGAAAAGGGCAACAGGGGATAACTAAAAAAGCGAAATTAATCAAACTTGAATGTTGACTTATTAGTGTCAAACTACTTATTTCAACATGGAAAGGGGAAAACACTTAAAACTAAAATCAGTCATTGAGTAAATACTAGCATAGGATCGGTGATTTTAAGAGACCCTTTTTAGTGTGCACCAAAAGTGCATTGTGGTCTTACGTTCGCATTTTTCTCATGTAAAGCTTTTTTTTTTCTGTATCACCAGAAGTATGGAAAAGGTGTAAGTGGAAGATTATTGGACTTTGCACTTCAGAAGGCAATGAAATTTTCTAGAATGATTTTTTTTCTACAAAATTATAAATTAAAATTTGTACTGTTAGTTCTGTATAGTGTAAAATAAATTATCTGTGCTGTTGTAAAATGTCCATGTCTCAAAGTTTCTAAAAGACAACATACATTCCTACTTTAAGAAAAAGTAACAAAGAGTGAGAAAAAAATAAATTAACTTGGCTAAGAGCCAAAGCCTTGTTAAGATATGTGGCAGGATAGCAGACATAAAATTGGAGGGACAAGAAAGTAAAGATTATAATTAAAAAGTTATTTTCTCCTCTTTGCAGTTACCTGTCTCCTTTTTTTATTCTTATTACACTTGTTGAAATTTCATGTAAATGATTGATTGACTCAGCGAACTCATTGTAATAAATTATGTTTGATGTGCTATCTTGAGAAAATCTTTTGAAATTCTGTTTTCTTTGTCTGCTGACCTTGTGGCTTTTAATATCTCGTTTCCCATCTGTCTGATTCCACCATAAGCTGGGCATAACTTTTCAGACTTTAATGCAGCTCCCTTTTTGTTCTGGTTTAAGTAAGTATGTAACACAAATACATGATTTGGCTGTCAACAGTAATATTAGAAAGGAATGTTGAAGTATGTGCTCCCTTTATTGATGTGAAATAAAGAAACGCTTATCTGTAGATATATGATAATACATATTTACAGTGCACAGATCTGTCTCTGCAAGGAAATGAGTACAGAGATGTCTGTATCATTGTATTACATCTGCTTTAATGTTACAAGTTCAAAGGTTACTTTTAAGGATTAGTTCTTAATTAAAGGAGAAAATAAATCGGTCTATAGGGTTTCAGGAAAGTGGTTTTAAATATGGATTTAAAAATACTTAGCTGAATATGTCATACAGATGTACCCAAAGTTCAGTTTGAGAAGTTGATTTTACTATAGGTATTCCACCTGTAAGAAGTGTCTCTAGCAGTGAGGTCCTGAGTCTTGAATTACAGGGGAATTTGGAGAAGAAGACTTACATTGTTAAAACCATATTTTTCTATGGGATACAATGTCTGTAGAAATATTCAGTTGGGATATCTTTTTTATGCTTATAGTTCAGCAGTTTGCTTGATAACTCTAAAGTATGTGTAGATAGATTCTATGTGTTCTTTATTAAGGACATAAAATGTATATGCTGAAAGGTTTTTTTAGATAGTGCCTTTTTAGTGGGAGTACGTCTTTGGAGACACCAGAGAGGATGAACTGAGCAAGGAAGAGAGGAAGGGGAAAAGCATGGCACCCCTGGGAATGTCTGTAACAGTTTCGTGGGACAGTAGAAATAGAATTGGGTTTTAAGTTTGCTGAACTCATCAGAGAGCTATTATGAATGGGGCAAAAGGCCACAGAATTCAATCAACTAAGTGTATTTATGCATAAAACATAAACCACTGTAATATTCACTTTGATACAGTCTATATAAGTTTATTTGTATAGTGATGATACTTTGACTACTGTTAATTCTTTTTGGTTGGCTAATTTGACTGTGAACAAGGTAGCCAACTCAGAGAAGGAAGTCAAGGAGGTCCAAAGCCTTTTTCCTTCATATTTGTTAAAAAAACCCAATAATAAGTAAACCAGATTTATAGGCTACATAGGAATATGCATTCAAGCAGGTAATCAGTAAATGACTAAATGGAATTATTCTTCATACTAGGTAGTAAGTTGAACTGAGACCTTGATACGGTCTAAGAAACTCTTAGTTCCAAAATTGCTGTCTTTGCCAAGTTTCTGACTTTCCTGGCATCTATTATTACTGAAACAATTCTTTGAGCAGAAGCTTTAGTGGTGCAATTCCAATATCTAGTGAGTATGATGTTTAATCCTTTTATAATTATTGTATTGTGAACAAGTGCTTTGGAGAAATCTGATGAGTATTTTTTCCACTATTGAAAAAATCACATTCATCTCATCAAGAAAACTGAAGCAACTAGCACCACTATTAAAAATATATATTTTTAAGGATCTTTTCTTGTGAAACTTCTTGGGAAGAGTTTTGTTTATGAAACTCATACCCCTATTTCTACAGCACAGAATATAAACAAACAAATGGAAAAAAATCTTGGTTCCGTTATATGCAATATGAATATTTTAGGATATCTGTTTCACTAGATTTTAATTCAGTATGCCCTTCCCAGGGTTAAATTTGGTATAGCATTTCCTTCCAGAAATGTGGAAAGTTAAGTTTGTGTATTACTGATGATACTCTTGTGTCTTTAGAAGTAAAAGCCTCTTATAATGGATGCATCTTACCTGTCTGTGAAACTTGTGTGGAATATGGCAGCTATGTAGTTTTGCATACAAATAGAGAAGAATATCTAATGATTAATATTTCTACATCATCGTTGCAGAGCCATTTGCTGTGCTATAAGTATCACTATGGAGTGTGGCACCAAATTGAAACATGACAGGAACGATGGGTCAAGGCTGTGTGTTATTAATAAATGACACACTCTTGTGACTCAGTAAACTGTCTCAGCAATCATGGTGTGTTTCATTTTATATTGCTGAGGAAAGCTGCAAACCAGAAGGATAAGTTCTTTCTACATACTTCCAGGTCCATTTCCTTAACTGCTGAGATTTACCTGGGGACCAAAGGACAGACTAGACATTGTTCAACATTTTAGCTGAATGAAGTGACATAGGGCTATAATAAGCTGCAGCTGAAATCCAGCTACAAAGTGGTTTCCAGCAGTATTCAGAAATAAGGCATTGTATTTGTAGTCAGTGTGTATGAATATAATTTTTGGCAGCAATTAAGCTCTTGCTGTATGTTTTCCTAGGTTTCTGCTGTACTAAATCACTGCATCCATGATTTACAGCTAAATATTTGCTTTAAATGTGAGAGTGACACATTTGTGTGCCTTTTCAGCATGTATGGAGAAAGAAGAAGAAAATGAAATGGCTTTTTTTTTTTCCTAAAAATTCTGACATAATTCATATATTAGAATATGAATGGTGGACTCTGAATTAATTGCTGCATGTTTTGTTGTAGATTAGACTGATTAGTAGGCACAAAATAATGTGAACAGTGATCATCATAGCAAATTTCTTCCATCTAGGGGATAAATATGGACAAAATAATATTTTGGGGAAAAAACCTCATGCCTATTGTTTAGGCAAGCACTTGCAATTGCTGGTACAACTAGTTAAGAGACTAAATCAAATATATTGTGTCTGGTGAATTAGTGATAACCTTGCATGCTAACTGTAATGCTTTATTGTGTTACTTGGCTTCAGATATAGTCACATACTATATTCTTTCAAAGAATTAAGAATAAAGTACCTGCCATTGGTTATAACGGGACTATTGATTTGCATGCCTTCCTGCATTGTAAATGTTCCCTTCTTTATCCTAAGATATAATCATGCTTACAATATTGATATTAAATCCCTCAAATTCTGGTTACTAAATTAGCATGCTGTATTTTTCCCAAAGTTAATATTTTTCCAGTTTTGTCTGACTAATAACTTGTTAAATTTGTCCTTATCTTCTAATGACAGATGATTTATCAAGGCCTACCACTTAATTAATATTACAGAACATGTGGGAAGCTGAAGAATTCAGAAGTATTTTCCATAGCTTGGACATGTAAAATGAGAAGCATAGGAGAAAACAGATAATCTTGTAACTGGGAAAATCCTATGTGATTTAAGCATGGGATTGAGGTTCAGGAAATGGTGAGTTCTATCCCGCAAATCCGTCATGCTTCCCACGAGACTTTGGACTAGACACTGAATTTTTCTTTGCTGCAGTTGACCATTCCACAAAATATTTAGGATAATACTGTCTTATCTCTTTAGGTAGTTTAATGCTGTATTTGTCTAGCATTACTAGCGTTATAGGGAACATATTCATTTTTTCAGTTTATTGACTTGTACTTAAACAAGCACTTCAGTGATATAGCTGTAGCATGAATTTTTTCATATTATAAAAGTGTGCATAATATATAATATCTAAAGGATACTTTTGGGACATAAATATATACTTATGTATCTAAAGCACATAGACAGAAATCTTAGAGAAGTTGTCAATGAAGTTTCAGCATTTCTGAATACTATACTTTTTCTTAATTTCCAGGTTGCATGTCTCACTCATGTAGCAGCTAATTACCTTAATTGCAAAATTGAAGCAAGACGCTGGGGTACTGCTCATGGGAGTATTGTTCCATATCAGGTAAGCAGAAAGCATTAGTGTTTTTTCTTTTTCTCTTGGAATTCATTATTTTGTGTATTATGATATTGAGAAATGACTTTTCCCATGACCTCCTGTAGTCTGTAATGTGTCTGTGTCTAGGTATGACAAGGTTCTGTTGTTCATTGTCATTTCTGCATTTTGCATATTTCTTCATCAGCACTAGATTAGTAACAGAACACTGAAAGAGATCAAAGGTGTTTGCTGAAACTGGATGACTTTAATGCTGGCATGATGACTTTGTTGGTTTTCACCTGACAGAGAAACCTTTTCTGTAAGAGTTACCTGACTTTCATACCAGTTATACACTGAAACTTTTCCCCTCTGAATTTCCATGAGTTTATCTTGTGAGTCTACAAGAATAGTATAAATGACCAAGATAATCTGGCAGCTCTACATATTTGTTGTTTTCTATTGATTTTGCTGCAAATCACTGCCTCAGTGAGACAACAGGTTGACAAAAGGAATTGTCCAGACCTCAGATCTCCGCAGCAGAATTCATACTCTGCTACATCTAGTGAAGGGTTGAAATTCCTTAAAATAGCATGACCTTCATCATAAAAACCAGCGCAGGAAAAAGAAAATCTCACTGCATGTTTTACCTTTCTTCTGGCCAGTATGGGAAGCTCCTCCAGTAAACAAAAATTGTTCTTTTCTAGCTGATCATTTTGTGTTCTTGTTGGAAATCATGCTAACTTCTGGAGACTTGGGCATATGTTTAATTAAAAAAATTGATTTTTTCTTCATTTTTATTTTTATTTCCCATCAAATAGTCATGCTTGCAGCTAGCTAGACAAAGCTTATATTTCTTAATTTCTGGTCAGCGTCCTTCAAGTGCTGAGAGGGACAGTTTGTAGTGTTTATCTGGGAGAACTGTGCCTAAATACTGCTGAGTTTCTCTACCATCTCCTTTCTTTAAGAGAAAGTGAGGGAAATTCAATGTATTGTCTTTCCAGTGGTGAAGATGGTAGAGGTCATAATTGAAAGATTTGCTGCTTGTGACTATATAAACTCTGAAGCAAAAATGTTTCATCATTATGTAGAACACTGTCACTAGCTAGTGTCACAGCCTGGCCTCCTCAGGTCTAAAAGCAAAATGAGTTTGTTTTGTAAGAACTGCATCTGCTTGATCTAGGAGTCATTTTCCAGTACTTACCACAGCATAATCAACTGTCTTGTTGCAAATTAACTACAACAGATTGCAAATTGTCTCAGGCCAGTGGGGAGATGTGGCTCTTTCTGCAAGAATGAGTTTGGTCCTGCAGTATTCATATTTTGGGTGTAGTGGAGCACAGCAGTGGTTGTGCTACTCTCTGAGTGGTCCTGTGTAGCAGTATGAACATGTTTTCTAGAACCAGCTCTGCATGACCCAATGTAACCAAGCATCCTTTACACCAGTACTTAGATTCTGCTGTGTTTCTGTGATGTAACCTTTGGGTGCGACGCTTTTTGAACTTTGGTATGTTGAAAGTGTAAAACAGATCTGAAATGCCTGAAGTTTGTATAAGCAAACCCCCAAACCTGACTAAACAAAACATTTTATCTTCACTATACTGCATTTGGCTGAATAACTGAAACTTGCATGTTTTTATGTCCTTTTTGCCTTTGTTTTTCCACAGTCAAAATGAAAAGCATACATTGAGTATCATCTGTTTCTTTTTTTTTTCCATAGACAGCTCTCTAGGTATACAAAAATTGAGGAGATTGTTTTAGCTGTCTTCTGGTTTAATCTAGATTAGTCAATATGTAAAGAAATATTTATATTTTTTTAAAATACCCTATCTAAAGTATGGATCCTGTGATTCTGTATACTGTTTCTGTAGCAGTTATTAGAAATATTGCCTCAATATTATAAGCAATTTCAATCTGAATTTTCTTTTTCATAAACTAGTAATTAGGGTGGATTTACTAAGGGTGGAGTTGTGTATGTGTGTTTTTGGCTTGTCTGTTAACGTTCCATCAGCTAGCATGGTTGTAATTCTGATTGTAACCATAAGCATATTATGGTTTCTAGTGGGTTTTTTCTTTTTCTTTACTAACATAAGCTATACTTAGATTGCAAAGCTCTTCATAAACTTAAGTTAACCCTTACTCTTGCTCTTGTACTACTTTTGTAGTTTATTCCATAGCTCATTTGTGATATAGTTTAGAACAGAACTCTGAAACCTGACTTTCATTCCTCATCCTAGTTATCGAATATACTGTCTTTTGCTTATTAAACAGTGTCTATCACTGTGCTAGTTTTTACAAATAATATCTTTTTTGTTTCAAGTTACTTTATGCCAGTGAACTGCAATTTGTTCAAATAATAAAAGTCACATTTCAGAAAATTGAATTCCTAGGTATTTCAGAACAAGTAGGTGGTAGCAAACTGTTGGGTTTTTTCTCATGTCCTTTATTTTGTTTTCCTTTGCTGTATTTTGAGTTTTTTCTTGTATTTAAAAACATAAAAACTGAGCATTAATGGGAAAATGGGTTTTCTCCTTCCTGAAACTAGTAAGATGTATAACACATTTGAAAATCTGTTTCTGGGCTGCTCTGAGATGTTAAGTTTGGTGTGCAAGGGCTTTCATACTCTTTTAAGATTTTTCAAATTTGCTTATACTGTTCTGACTTTGTGGCATGATCATCTGAAATGTCTGAGTTTTCAGTTCTATGTATTCATCACCAGAACCCAAAGGAAAGGATTTGAACTTCTTTTGAGTGTACAATATCTTCCTGGGGTCCTGTAAAGCTGTCTGTAAAGATTTGCCGTAGATTTTCAATGGAGGTCAACTTTGCAGTGTGCCACAAGGATGAAGTACTTTAGATTATAATCCATCAAAAGCAGAAATATTTTTTGAGTCCTGAAACCTTAATGAGAAATTGTCTACTTTGCTCTGATTAAACCGCAGATATGCTCAAAGTAGTTTGAATAGGTCACTCCTGTGATAGGGCATGTAATTGGATATCCCAATTTGCTTGGTTTCAAGTATTAACTTGTTAACACAAACCTTGAGTTCTGGGCTGTATCTTCTATGTAATTAGTGCAATTTTTTAAAACCAGTTTCTATAATGAGACACCTTGTTTAGCTACAGCTGCTCCATGATTATACAGAGGAAATCAGGGTTAAAAGCATCCGGTTTACATAACTGTGCTGAAAAGTAATGTTGTCTTACTGTCTTTCATTTGGGGTGATAAGGTCTTCCCTCATTCTAGTGGTTTCAGCAGTATAGGTATCTTTCCTGTACCATGCATGAGATTTAGGCATTCACATTTTTGTCTTTAAGTTGGCCCACTCAGAATGGATATTCATTCTCCTGAGAAAGTCTGTTGTAACCTGAATGTTTACAGGGTGTTTCCTGTGGCAGCTTGTTGCTCTGCCATCAGACACCCTGGGCAACTGGGCAGTACTCTCAGAGCCAGACTTTCAGTGAAAGATATAGGGCTGTTTCCTTTTGGGCCATAATGATGGAAGTCTATTTAAAAACTGAGAAACCAAACTCTTACAGATACCTAATGAATATGATACTATTTTTGTTCTAGATTTGGTCTTGAGACTCACAGGTTTTTCTCAGGTATACATCAGTATATTTCCAGAATGTGCAAAGGGCACAACCATTCTGCTCGGAAGCTAAAAATATGAGACAGGAACTGAATTTTTATTTTAGCCAGTTACCTTTTATGCTGACTGACCTATGCTTTGTCATAACTCATCAGACCCAGCATTAATGCGTTTTTGTATTAGAGCATCACTTAAATTCTTTAATCTCCTTTTCTTTTTTTTTCCAGTGTAGAGGACAGCAGAATAATGTCAATCATTTAGAAATTTCAAACTGCTTATGCCATGCAAGAATGGTGATGTGTAGTCATTTTCTTGTCTGTCTTTATGTGGTTTTATTGGCTTCTTCTGCACTTAATGCATCTTGAAATCAAAAGCAACAAAGAATAGAACTTAGATTATTTGCAAAGTTTTGTTTTGTGCATGAAACTCTCCTTAAATAAATCCAAAATGGAAGAAAATCTTTTTGCTCTGTACTAGCCCAGTCTAGGAGAAGATGGAACTTAAGAAATAAAATACAGGTCTTTTTTTTCAAAGTTTTAAATTCAGGCAGTACAAGATGACCCTTCTTACTCTGTGAACTTCATCTACATAATATTCACCTGGACTATTTAGACTGCCTTAGGGACCCATTGTCCTATATTGTTCTTCTGAGCAAGGAAGCATCAGTGGTATATCCCAAGGCATGCTCTCTCACACTGCATGGATTCAGTTTCTCAAGAACAGTTTGGTCATGATCAAGATAAATGTCTCTCCTCAAATGATGAATACACAATACTTTAATGGCCTTCAACTACTTACCTGCAGGTTTGTTTTCTAACAAACTGCTTCCTTTATGTCTTTATCTTACAAGGCACAAGAGAGAGTGAAGCCAGAAAGGCATGTGTCATCCTGGATTCTGTAAAACAATAAAACAAGAATATAATTTGCAGGACTTCTTTTTTTTTTCTTTCTTTCTTTTTGGACAAGTTTCTATTTGTAGATTTCCTTACTAGACTTCTCAGAAGTGTCTTACTGTGGTACAACTGGATTAACCACTGACTGCAGAAAGGCTTTGGTCTTTTTGTGAGTATAGAGGACTACAGTTGGCACTCTGCTTGGTAAGAAGTGCTCGAGCAGGGATTCTATTTCCTTGCCATTTTAGTCATAGAAAAAGTATAGTGATAATCTGTGTAGAAAGCTGCCCATTTATGAGCAATTAATTTAGTTATTCAAACCTGACAACATTATATTGATAATGTTCTGGAGCTCATCCTTCAAGTGAATTGTCAAGCCTCTCTACTGGGCAGAGCATCAATCTGGAAACCAAATCAGTAGGTTTGCCATGGGCAGTTTTAGATATGTGCTCAGTGTATAATGTGAGATGTAGTTATAAAATCATTCATATCTATCCTATCCTGTCACAGAGACAGCACTTTAAAGAAGCTGACCTGATGTGCA